GAGGTGTGAGCGGTGCTAACGGGAGCCTCTGTAGCGCAGCGTTCCCGGGGAGGGCTGGCTTAATGTGGGTTTACTAATTGCTGCGTGCTGCAGCTGAGCCCGCGCAAATGTTGACCCCTTCACTGTGGTGTTTGAGTTACCTGCATTTGCCCTTATGCTTAAAGTAGATCTAGATTTTGTGTCACTTATCCTCTAAATTTTTCCCTTATTTTGATAGGGCAAGAGGGAGTGTAGTCATTTGCTCCTTAATGATGTGTATTGATAAACTTAAGGTTTGCATGTTATCCGCTGAGTAAGGGAAGGCTAGCAGGAACCAGGGCATTCTATCCCTCTTTATCCTGTAATAAACTTGGGATTCACTGAGGTAATAACCTCAAAATTACTTCATGGATAATTTCTTTTTTTTTTTACATCTCACCTGATTTCTTTAGAGGGCTTTTTTTTTGTGATACTGAAAAGAAATCTTTCTAGATGTGATGTGTCGGTTAAATTATTGTTGTTATGTATATTATTCGCTAGTAATAAGCTTTTAATTTTTAGAGTTCAGCAATGACTTTTGAAAGTGGATAAGGGAAGTGTGACTGGTGTCATCTGCCTGGACTTTGCAAAGCATTTGACACTGTCCCACATGACATCTTGGTTTCTAAACTGGAAGGATATGGGTTTGGTGGATGGACCACTTGATGGATGAGGAATTGGCTAGGTGGTAGCACTCAGAAGAGTTGTGATCAGTGGCTCAATGTCCAAGTGGAGACAAGTGACGAGTTGTGTCCCACAGGGATCGGTACTGAGACTGATACTATTTAACGTCTTTGTCAACCACACGGACAGTGGGATAGAGTGCATTCTCAGCAAGTTTACTAGTGGCACCAAGCTCTGTGGAGTGGTTGACACACTGGAGGGAAGGGATGCCATCCAGAGGGACCTTGACAGGCTTCAAAGATGGGCCCAGGCCAACCTCATGAAGTTCAGCAAGGCCAAGTGTAAGGTCAAGGCAATCCCAAGCACAAATGCAGCTTGGGTGGAGACCAGATTGGGAGCAGCCCTGAGGAGAAGGACTTGGGTGTGCTAGTTGACAAGAGGCTCAACATGAGCCAACAGTGTGCACTTGCAGCCCAAAAAGCGAACTGTGTCCTGGGCTGCGTCAGAAGAAGTGTGACCAACAGGTCAAGGGGGGTAATTCTGCCCCTCTGCTCTGCTCTGGTGAGGCCCTACCTGGAGCACTGTGTCCAGTTCTGGAGCCCACAGTACAAAAAGGACATGGATCTGCTGGAGTGGGTCCAGAGGAGGGCCATGAAGATGATCAGAGGGCTGGAGCACCTCTGCTATTAGGACAGGCTGATGGAGTTGGGATTATTCAGCTTGGGGAAGTGAAGGCTCCAGGGTGACCTAATAGCAGCCTCCCAATACATGAAAGGGGCCTACAGGAAAGTTGGAGAAGGGCTTTTTACAAGGGTCTGTAGTGACAGGACAGGGGGCAGTGGCCTGAAACTGCAAGAGGGTAGATTTAGATTAGATATAAGGAAAAAATTCTTCACCATGAGAGTGGTGAAGCACTGGAACAGGTTGCCCAGGGAGGCTGTAGATGCCCCATCTCTGGCAGTGTTCAAGGCCAGGTTGGATGGAGCCCTGAGCAACCTGGGCTAGTGGGAGAGAGGTGCCCCTGCCCACAGCAGGGGCATTGGAACTAGATGATCTTAAAGGTCTCTTCCAACCTTAACCAAGGAAAAAAAAAGTTGTCTTTGGTTTGTTTTGTGGGAATGTTTAAAGGGATATAGATAAATATTTAAAGATCATATGAGGGGGCAGTTTTGGACTATGTTGCATATCGGGCCAAAAAAGATGGTTTTTACTGCCTGGATGAAAATCATAATTACAGGGAATTGCTGTAGAACCAGAAGATTGTAGTTCCACAGTAAAACCTACAGGGAAACATTGTTTGAAATGATGCCTTAAGAAAATGTATGACAAGTTATCAGTGAGTATTTTTAACATTTCAGTGAAATGCTTGGCATGCAGACTGTTGTCAGAGTTTCACAGTCTTCAAGGCAGAAAACCTTGGGCTGCAGTCAGAAATGTCAACAAACTCAGTATAAGTGTTAAGGGAATATTTTAGTACAAATCACTGAAGTGACCAGCCTACTTTACTGTGTGGTGTGCTTTTCAGTAGTTTATTTGTTTTTGATTCCCAAAGGTGGAATGGTGTTGGCTGTTCACTTTAAGATGTGCTCGTCTAGTCCACAGTGTAGAATTTGAAGTAATACTGTGGTAGAGTTTGCTACATACTATCATAGTTTCCAAGAGATGTATTTTATGACCATGACAAAGGCAGTGTCAGTGTTGTTGAATACAACTGGAACAGACATGATTTGTAGAATTTTGGCGATACATGTTTTTTATAGGTGGTTTACCTGTATAATTGATGTACAATTTCTGTTTTTCCACTGTGTTCTCCTAGAAGGTGATTGTTTGGTATTTCCAAATATGAAGAGGAAAGTTGCAAAAGCTGGGAAATTGAGGCTTAGTCCTAATGAGGAAACCATGCTGCTGAAAGAAGAATATGAAAGAAGAAGAAAACTGAGGCTACAGCAAGTATGTCCATATTTTTGCACATTTATATTTAACTCAATGATGTAACAAGTAATTCAGGAAAATTAACTGAAAAAATATTTAATGTAAACTGAATTTCAAGGTCATAATATTGTATATTAGGTTTCTATTTAGTTAGTGAATTATTTGCCTTTTCTTGTGTTTATTTACTATTAAGTGTGTATTTTGCTTATGATACCTTCTGTTTATTAGATTGACTTTGGCATCTGTTCCAGAATCTCTTCTTCCCTGCCAGTTTCCTGGTATCTTCCATTTTTATTTAGACGTGAGCGTGCAGTCATCTCTTCTGCTGGTGTGTCGTTTGTGTAAGGATTCCTAGTGCTTACGGTGCTTCAAGTGTTTTCACAGTGCAGAATAAATAAGACAACTGCTGGTATCACAGAACTTCACAGCTTTCCACTAGATAACCTGAATTACTGCAGTACGCTGTAGCTCTAAATGCTTTAAGCACTGCTCCTTTTAGAATGTCTGAGCAGAGTCCCTTTATGTTTTTCAGAACAGGTTTGTTGATCACATCATTTTTGTTCCATTTCTGTCCTGCTGTTAGACCGTGGGGCTATTTCTCCAGTTCTCTTCCTGCTCTTTTCTTAACCTTCCTCTACTTTGTCCTACACAAGCTCTTCAGGTCTTTCCCATCTTCAAAAAACACATAGCTTCAAGACATTTCCTACGTACTAATCTTCTCTTCGCCTTGGGCCTCTTTTTTTTTTTTAGTATGTTTTTCGCTTTAGCAAAGGGAACTTTACTGATGAAGTGAAAAACAAAAACTAAGTAAGCAGACTTTAATTTGCTGATTTTCTTTAAACCATGTTGCATCGTAATAGGAGCCTTTAATAATTTTATTGTGTTGTATTTTTGGAGGGAAGGATATTACAAGTAGTTTTTGCATTTTGTTAGTTGCATGTTGCTCTTTGGACTTTAAGTGACACATTTAACTTGAATTAAGTATTATTTAATACAGCAATTTTGGAAAAAAGGTAACAGCTTTTAAAGTGTTTTCTGGACAGATTGTTAATGGAATAGTAGATAAGATGGAAGGCTGAATTGGGTTGGGTATGCTGTGGAAAGACCTGCTAAAAAAATAAATTGTGCTTTTTGAAGTTGTTGACAACATAAATGCTATTTCTACAGGTTAGGGAGCAACAGAAGTATATCGCCTTGCAGATAAGACAGAAGGTAAAGCAGAGAAGAGAAGAACAACTACATCAGTTAGAGGAGGCACTGAGAGCTGAATGGCAGAAAGCACAGGATGAAAAGATGAAAGCCTTAGAAAAACTGTATTTGTCAAGCTTAAGAGCGATTGGTGAGGGCCACCGACAAGCCAAGGAGAATGTAAGTATAAGAGCTTAATGTTAATCTCAGAGAAATTCTTGATGTTCTAGAAATACCAAGGTTTTCTTTGGGTTTTTTATATCTTGCTCTTTGCTCTTCAGGTTTTGGGGTGTTTTTTAATTGATCTTACAGTCCTAATACCTGAAATGGCAGGTTTCTAAAATGGAAACTTCTTAGGATGTACTGTTTTCCACAAGACCAGGATTAAATGGTCTTGCAGGCCCATCTGCTGAGGCTTTTGCTGTGCTGACTCTTTAAAGTTATTTTCTTTATGTTAGATTGTACACAGTTCCTGTATATTTGTACCTGACTAAATTGCATATGGTGAAAATTACTGTCTCAAGTGTGCCAATAACATAGTGACTTTTTGTCTACCATGTAACGGTATCTTTTGTATGGTTAAGAAAATACACCCCCTTTTTTTTTTTCCTGCAGTGCTCAAGTGACATGGAAAGTCTAGGTAAGGGCTTCAGAGGCCTTTGCCTAGACTGCAAACTGCTGTCATGTCTTAATTCTGCCTCTAGAAACTATCTTCATTTTCTTTTAAAATGTTGTAACATGTAGGCTCTCTTTGAGAGATCATTGAGATTGTTGCATAGAAATTTTCAAGAGAGTTGACTCTGGACCAGGTTTATAGAAGTCAGCGGTGAATTTTACATCGCATGAATTTTACAGACTAGTTTATTTCCTGAATTAATGAGGCTTTTTAACCGAAGTGAAAAATACCATTGTACTTTTCCATATCTCAGTATGTCTAAATCAGCTTCTTTGTAAAGTCCTTAGGAGCTGGACTAGATGATCTTTTGAGGTCCCTTCCAACCCCTGACATTCTGTGATTCTGTGTGATTCCTGTCTGATGCTAGGGTGGATGAGTTTGTGAAAAACTGGGGTACCAATGCCACGGGAACAGAGAACTAATCATAAAGAAGTGTTACTGTTGATATATATTGTAGTTAGTGATGGAAAGGTAGTAACGTGCTTTCTGTGTGTATTTTATTTTTTGTTGAAATGTCTAAGTGTATTTATATTACTCTCTTCATCAAAGAGAAGCAGAGAGAAGCTGAGGTTTCCACATCAATATTTGGTTACATTGGCTGAGGAGTGTGGCAAATTTGCTGCTGCTGGCTGTAGATGTGAAGAGAATAAAGAAAATGGCAGAAAATAAGTTATTATTTAAAGTATTTTTACTCTAATACAAAAAAAGTAATTTTGAACTTGTGATTCTTATCAGCTTTACTTAATCTAAAATATCACACTGATAGTACAATGAGGAGTAAAAGCCTGTGTTAAGTACTCACAATTTTTTATTGTTAAGGAACCTGACTTAGAAGCTTTGGCAAAGCAAGCAGAGGAAAGGAAACAAAGAGCAGAGATGAGACATAGGAAAGCCCTGAAAGAGCAGAAGTGCCAAAAAGAAAAATTACTTCGTGAGCAAGCCCGGTATGCAATAGTTACCCAGTTTTATTAAGCATGGAATGCATTTTACAATGTCACGAGGTGAAGGGCAGAAATCTTGATGCGTCTTTCTTTCAGCTTTTTTTATTCTTGGAATATTATGGGTTAGAGATAGAATTCTTGTGGAATTTGGTAAGAACTGTAGTTTTAAAACCGAGACAAAAATGTCATATATACGAGCAGGCCTTATAGCCTGTTCTTTTTATCTCATTTGTTTTGGTTTTTTGTTTTCCCCAAGACGAACAAACGCACGTAAACATGCTCTGGAGGTGGAAAGACAAAGAGCAGCCAAAGTTGCGAGCCTGCCGCCTCCTCCGCCACGACCTCTCGAGGTATGTATCCGTGATGTGATGGTGATCACAGTTTTAGGGAACCATATAACATAACGATTTATTTATTGGTCTCACTCATCACAACAGGTATTTTAAGCTGCTGTTTGCATACCATAAGGAGAGTGGTTCAGCAAAAGTCAAGAAGTTTAATTAATTCTGTTTTAGCAAACTTCTTAGTAATAAGCCTTGGTATTTGTTTATTTCTGATCTCTTGTTATGTGTGGATGGTATTTCTTGTCATCTGAATTCTTATTTTTGTGGATAGTATATCTTTTAAACTATTTCACAGTGTCATCTTCATTTGATAGCCACAGTGGTATTAAACTCTGCAATGATCTTTTTTTTTCAGCATGTACGCACCACCTCAGCCTTCTGCCGTAAAGATGCAGTAGGAGCACTTTGTTTAGTTCTGTAATAAAGATAGTTCTAACTTTTACCTATGGGGTTTTTTTTGTTTTGGTTTGTTGTTGTTTTTTTTCCCTTCCTTCAATTTCTTTGTTTCTTGTAGGGAGTACTAAATGTAGGGTAAGCTGTTTAATTTTGATAGGAAACCAGTACCTGAGGTTGTTGGGGAGAAAAGTAGATTAAAATCCTATTTTTAATTCTATGCTGTACCCTTTTAGGGGATGACTCTTTACCTCCTTCTTGCTTCTTTGATTTCAGAGACATTCCACAGAGATACAGAAGTTATTGCAGGATTGCAGATCTGAACTGCAGGAAGAACATTATGTACATTTTTCAATCTGGAGTTAACCTTCAGTAAATTTAATTTAAGGGAACTTCATTAGTGTGTTGGATGATGAGGGTTTGGTACTGATGTATCTGGAAACACTGGGTGAGGTTTGACCCTCGCAGTTTGCTGAGTGATATTTCTGTTTGTATCCGTCACTGTGTGCTTCTCTGCAGGTCTCCTCACCAGCTGCCCAAGAGGTTTTTTACTGTGGAAATTGGATATGAGTGAGGATTAAAGCAAGTGTCATAAGGGAGTGGTCAAGTTTGGGGTTACTTCTGGTGAAGTATTGGAATTTAGAACAGAGGGACTAAGGTCCCATATGGTGCAGTTCAGGTCAATTCAGACACTTTCAGGCTGCTATTCTCTCTGTTGTTCCACAGAACCTGTTCCTAGTGTATCTCCTGTAGAGCAGATGAAGGCTGGATCAGTTAAAACTTTGATTCTTTACCTCCTGGTTTTCAGATGCTTGTGTTGCTCAGTTTAGTGGTGTTGGAAAAACAAGAGATGCTGCAGCATTGCTTTCTAGAAACTTTCAGAGTTTAGCATGTATTTTAATGTTGCTTTCTAGTAAAAGAAGCAACAAACAAGTTTCTCATTGGTGACCGAAAGTCAGCTGTGGTTAACATGTGTATTTGTAGATGATAAAACAGCTATAAGGACAGAGTATGTGCTAACAAGCTCATCTCTTTCCATTTTACACAGACAGAAGTTCCGTGTCATTCTTTAGTCTTTTTCACTGGGGCAAGCAAGAAGACTTTGTTCAGGTTTCCCCAGTTTCTGGTACCATAATTGCATTTGTGATTGTGTTGGATGACAGGTCTCCATCAGTCCCCTGTTCAAGTATTGCAGAATCACAACTTCCTTTCCTGAACTTCCACAATTTAGTGCATTTCCACCCATTACCAAATGTCCTTTACTCACCTTTTCAGCAAATATGGTTTTTAGCTGGTTTTAGCAGCTTTCGCAAACAGATTTTCTACAATACGTGGGTTTTGTCTTTTTTAAGAAGTTGATGCTCCGAGAATGGCAAATTTAATCAACAGTTCTGCAGACATGTTGGATTTTTGCTGAGGAAAGAGATTGCGTTGCGTTGTTTGAATACAGCACAGCGCGTCGGTTTGATCCATGTAAAGCCTAGCGGACTGAGCCTTCTGCCTAGTTCTCCTCTCTGTATGGATTTTAATCCTTTGGTCGTAGACCTGTGTTGATGGGAGGGCGCATACTGAAGAATAAAGTTATTTTTCTTGGAAGAGTAAATGGGATGCCATGTACCGCGTGGGGTAAATGCGAAGTAATTGAAAGATCAGAAATTAGTAGAGGCTTACTCCGAGTTCTGTCCAGAGGAAAAACAGAAAAGATGTTAACTGTCTATTTCAGCGGGAGTGAAAATCTGGAGCTTTGTCTTGCAAGTGTGTTACTCAAAAGGCACTGAATGTGAATTATTTCATTTTACTCTAAATCCTGTGAATTATGGCAAATTACAAGATCATCTGTATAAGCATGCTTATTGAATAATAATAGATAAAGCGCTTATTGAACATAACCGTAATCATAATCTGAGCTCTGTTCAGTAACAATTGAATGAAATTTCTTAAAGTGGAGCTAGAGCAGTGCTCTTCACTGCAGGCTTATTTAGAATATAAGAAAAATTTTCTGAAGATGCTCCCATTGTTGTTACTTTATCCAGCTAAAAAAGGAGTGTTTTTATTCCAAATATATTGTCATAATTAGGTTTAATTCTCAGAAGGATGGCTGTTGGTAATTGAGGCCTTATTTAGTTAGATCCGGTGTTAAGTTACTTAACTGAAGTTACAAAGTCAGCATCATTTTACTGATAAGTGTCACAGAGTACTTATGAACTTTTTTTATTATATAAGATTTTCATGTAATGGAAATAAAACCTAAAATTGTCACCATACTCTTCTTGAGTAGAGTGGGTGGTAACAAACCTATTGATGGAAGTACAGAAAATTCTTAACTGCAGTGGTTCCCCCGTGAGGTGTAGTAATGTTACAAGCATTATATTTTTTGACCTGTGTTGTTTTTGACGTTAATTGGAAAGTTGCAGCCTCCAATGTGCTTCTCACATCTTCACAGCTTTTGAATAAAATTCTGGGATTTGGTTGACTGAGTGTAATTATTAATTGCCGATTTTAGTTCTAAATTTTTAAAAAATAATTCAGAAGACTGGGGTTTAATTATACGTTCTGAAAGTAACAGTATAAATCAAGCAGTCTATGACCTGGCTAATGAAGTTTAGGTATGGGACTTGTCTGTTTTCAGAGCTGTAGTCAGTATCTGTAAGTGTTTCAGTTGATGTTGATGTGTTAAGATTACTGTGATTTAGTGATTTGAAAAGGTAGCAATTTTTTAAACAGCATTATTTGCAAATAAAAGTGAAATTCTTGACGGTGTGCTTTTATGTGTACATACCTTTTTTTTTTTCTTCCTACTAGAATAGCATGCATTTGCTTATAAACCTCAGGCTGTTGAAGTTCTATCAGTAAGGCTAAAACTAGTTGCATATTATAGGATTTTAATGTAAAAGCTTTACTTTCTACACTCTTTATACAATAGCAAGAGATGATCAGTACTGAAATGTTGTATGCCTCATCTTACATAAAGTTTAAGATATTCCTGCGATTTAATGCTGCTCGTTGTGTATACGCTTCTACACTGCTTGTGCTATGAAACTTACTTTTTCAGTTAGTGTGGATAAGAATCCTTTCTTAGGAGAAAGTCTAGGGAGGAGGAAGCTGAGAGAAAATTAATGGAGGAGATGCTAGAGGTACAAAGGCAGGTCCTACAGGATACTGAGTTAACCTAACCTGGCACCCTCACTACCAAGAACATCAGACTGAGACAAAGAAGAGGGAGCATCTGTTTGCTCGGTGTTCAGACTTTTCGACAAGAGTTGAAATGCGGTAGTGTATTCAAAACTTGTAAAAAAATCTATTATTTTGTATTGTATGAATAGACGCTTTTCAGGAATGTTATGGCAAATCGTCTTTGCTCAACTACTAAGTTGGAAATAATGGTTCTGAGTCTCTTTAAGAAAGTCTATATTTGAGGAGTGTTATTTTACAGTTAGGTATAGTTATATTGTGGATCTATGGTTGCCCTGCTTTGAGGTGAGTGTGAGAGCTGTTATAATAGTTCATTAAACTCAAGTGTTTTTACATTAAGACATTGCTTTTGAAACATGAAGGCAGAGCTCTGATTGTCAGTTTGTCTCGAGGAGTTTGCCTTAGGCTGTTAGATCCTGTCACTTGTTAAGTCCTCTCGATCTGCCTTGTGCTGATGCAATTTATTGATTATTAAATGTGTGTAAAGTTTTAAACAGCGATATTTTCAGGAGAGAATTTGGAGGGGTGGCTTTCTCAGAGTACTAATTGAAGTGTACAGATCACCTATGTTCTGACTTGCTTCTTTGCTAGAGATACTGTTCTCTGACACAGTTGTACTTGCGCTTCTCTTCCTAGAATTTTGAAGTGAAGAAGACTCCTGCAGTGAAGACCTATAGCGCTGACAACTTCTCTGTTACGCGTTACCACGTTTTTGAGCCTTACGTGGACAAGGAAGTAGATGGAGAGCAGGTGATTAACTCCAAGTCTTTGTGATATATGTTTCCATATATCTTTATTTATATTCTGTACAGTACTTGGATATCAGCAGTTCAGTTTTCTGGAACATTCTTAAGAATATGAACTTGTATAAAGCAGCCATTGCACAACTTACTAGTCAGAATCATAGTGGAAACTTGTAAGGCCTGTTACATGCTCAGTCGCTTGCAGGATCACACCTGAGAGTAGCACATGAACAGGTCTCTGTGAGGTGAGTTCACAAGACTGATGTAACAGTAGGACACCCAAATCTTCTGCTTTGTTGCTTACACTAAACTAATAGTTGTAGTTGCCTTGCTTTTTTTCCTTCTTTTCTTTATAGCTACGTACTGCCCGTCTTTGCCTGGTATTTATGTTCATCTGTTCTTGTAGTCAACAGTTTGAACTTGCTGAAATGGCACAAGTCTAATTTGGGAGAAGGAATGATGAGTAGATTTTTGCCAAATGGCCAAGTTTACTCCAGTCTGCAGTAACGCTCAGACAAAGGCTGAAGTCAGATCAGAAGGGAAGGACTGCAAAAAGTGAGAGAGGGAGCAAGAGCTTAGTTTTTAGAGGTGATTTTTGAATTAAGGTAACATTACTAAAAAGTGAACTAGACAACAGTTTCGTTTATTGGTGATGTGAGATCACAATCTGAGTTCCTGTTCTGGGTCAGCCTCTTTTAGAATAGAAAATGTTATTTGTTTCTGTGAAGATTTTCTTCAGTACATTCATGAAGTTTTAGGTTTTCTTAACATTTGAAGGACCAGGTCTAAACAATTAGAGGAGATACTGTAGTTTGCTCAGCTTTGTCATGGAAAATTCCAAGATATTAATCTTCATAGCCTTACTTATGCAATAATTTTTTTTGCCTAAGGGTTTTTTAATTTTCATGTTTTAGTAAGTTTTTTTCTTGTATAAAAATTGATGATTGTTTCTGTTTTCCCAAATGAGAATGAAAATGCTCTGGATTTGTATTTCCCGCTTGCCTTGTTTAAAAGAAAACCATGAGGACAGAAGTAGTCAATCTCTAATATTGACTGTATTATTCATTTTACCTTGTATTATATATTTAAAATGCCTATCATCATATTGATAAACACTCTGTGGAGCCACTCTGCTATAACAAATAAATCATACAAATTATTTAGTACAGCTTGAAACTTGAACACTTTGCCACTTACACTTCTGGAACATGTAATAAACCTTCAAGGGTGTTCGAGTGGCATCGTATGTCTTCTTTAAAGCGCTCTTGCTGCAGAATTGTTTATTTATTTATTTATTGTTACGTATGGTTTAAACTACTGCAAAGAATTTCCTGGACTAAACTATTGATTGACTGCCAGCCAGATGCTCGGTTAGCTGCTGCGGAAGAAGGGAAACGTTTGGAGGAACGGCACAGAGAGGCAGAGAGGGAGAGAAGAGAGCAGCTTGAAAAGGCACAACTCAGAGGAAGTCACGCTTTGAAGAAGGTCCATTTGGCCCAGGTAGGCTAAGTGGTTGTGGCTGTTCTAGTATCCAAATGACCAGTGTTAAGTTTTAGGTAGATGATTAGTAAAGGAATTGTAGTTAGAGGAGGAAAATCGATGGACTAAATGGATTTTTCAGAATTTGTTTAGAAAACACCAGTTTGCTTATTTTATCTGAAAGGAGGGAGAATGAAAGAACATCCTTTAATTTTTGTTAGCTTAGTGTTTGGCCAGCTGTTAACCAATTGGTAATAATCAAGACAAGCTAAATAGGTGATAAGCTCAAAAAGTAGTTTATTATTAAGAAAGCAAAGTTTATTTTTATTTTTTTGTTAAGTAAAAACTCAAAAGTTTTCAGTAAAAGACTGAGGTTCTGTTAGTGTGTAAGTCTGGAAATACTGAAATTCTTTCCTTTAAGATGTAGAAACTGAACTATTGAGAAACCTCTAGGTACAAAGAGCCTATGCTCTGAAACTCATTTCATTGTCTCTTACCTTCAAGTATTTTTGGAGGCTAGAAATAGCAAAAGCTTTCTGATACTTAATTGAGATATGATTGGCCCTGAACTGGTAACCTAACTAAGACGGGGAACTGAGGAAATATTACTGATGCTCCATAGGTCAGCAGAAAAAAAACCCCAACAACCAGACTTCCAAAAAAGCTTTTTTTAAATAGTTTCCATATGTAACGGTAGCGTGCCAGGAGCAGTTAGTGCACGTCTTAAAAAGTAGCAATTGCTGAAATATGTACTAACAAAAATAACTTCCTGAAGGAACTATTCATTTACTTTATAAAAGAAGATTCAATTCTGTTGAAGAAAGTTGGCCTCCAGGTGTACACCGTGATCTGTTATTTACCATGAAGTCTTCTGGGTACCTTTGAGGACACCTGTGTGTAAAGGTTTAAAGGTCAGATAGAGCCCTCTCCTGAGGAAGCACCATCTCTCCAGAATCAAATTAACTTTAAGCATTAAGGATTAGACAAACATCATGGTTACCAAATGGATGTATTTTATCAGTCCTGACAAATGGCTGTTGGAATGGGAACATTAAATATTTGTTATCCCTTCTTAAATCCTTGAAGGACAGGGAAAGGCTACTGAAGGAGCTTGAGCAGATGCAGAATATGGATCGGTTGCGCAGAGGGCAGATTCTAGCCCAGATGCCACCTCAACCTTTTGTGCCCCCATACAGACGCTTGGAGATAAAAGAAGAATGGCAGAGAGAATTGGAGGTTGCGTTTGAAGATATGTGCAGCGAGGACAGGAGTAAGTCCTTTGCTGGGTGGAGGTTGCTGAATCTGGCAGCGCTGTAGAGGAGAGGCTGGGGCACACGCCGCGCTCTCCCCACCCTCTGCGTTCCGAGGGGCTGCTCCAGCTGCCGCTTTCCCAGCTCTCTGTGCGTTCACAACAGGCTCCACAGGCCAACGTCGAAAACGCAGCACTGCGTGAATGGCCTCAGCCTGTTGCCGGCTCTGAGCAGGCTGATGGCCTGTTAGTGGGATGTACATCTGTATGTACGGTGTGGAGCCCTCCAGAGATTGGTTGTAGACGTCCCAGCTCTCATGCTGTGGATCCCCCAGTAACAGGCCTGAGGCACCCAGACTACCCAGTAGTTTATCGTGGACCCTGTAGCCTTCCAGTTACCTTCCACATGCACATGCTCAGATCTGTGCTGTGGATCGCTCAGTGAGCGGCTTTAGATGCTCGCTCTGCCTCCCAGCTGGCCCTCCATCTGTAGTCTGAAGGTATTGGGATATTCCTGCAGGGAATTGTGCTGCTTTTTGCGTAAAGGTGAGCCTTTTATCACATAAACGTCTGTTTTGAAAGACATAGCATATTCTAGGGGAAAACTCTGTGGAATTTCTGAATTAAGAGATGGCTAATGATCTAATCTTCATTTTTGGGGGAAGAAAAAAGTTGGATTAAATCCCTTGTGCAACAAGCTATTGGTATTTGAACTTTTTAGGGATTTTTATTGTGAATGTAGTCTTGCAATGTTGTTTGGTTTTTATTCCGATTGGTCATTTTGTGTTGTTGTGCTCTTTTAATTAGAAATGAAAGGAGACCTGATTTTGCGGTTTGAGCCACAGCCTTTGCCGGCCCCTTCTGATCGATGTCAGGATAATGATCTTGATATCTCTTTGGAGCAGGAATCTGCTTGTCATACTCTGCAAGAATCAGAACAGATGGTACAAGAGGAGGTCCCCAGTGAATCAGAAAGTAAAGCTTTTAAACTGTACAGTTAACTTACACTGTTAGGTTTTCTAGTACAAGAGAAGAGATTTAGTATCATACATCAAATAAGACACTTTACTTAACACTAAAGTTAATTTAAGTACTAAAATTCCTTAATGCCTGTGAAATATTTCATTTTCAAGTGGGTTGCTTGTCATAGATGATAATACTCTAATGATTATGAATTTAAAAATGAAAATATGACTTCTTTTTCTAATATACCTCAGTTCATTAGTATACTGAGAATAATTTTTGATTGTTGTAAAAACTACGCCCTTAGTAGCCATAATTATTCCTGTGTAATTAGTGTAAATCATGGGATGATGCTGATATGTGAATGTAAAAATCTTTCATTTTCTGTTTTGAAATATTTCAAAGTTAAAGCTTTGACCATCATACAAAGTCTACTTACTGTATGTTGTTTATGTCCAGGTTTGTGACTGAGTAGCTGCTTGGCCAAGCATCTTGCCACATCCCTTTGCTGGCACAACCTGGTTTTTGATCTGCAATAGGTTGTGTCGCCAGTACTGGTAAAAAGGAGAGGGGGCAGGAACAGAGAGGCAGGTGGGGGAGTAGTAACTGCTTGTTTCTGCAACAGGACAATCTGGGAGTTGTCTGACTGTGAAACACTACAACTAGCTTAGGCCTCCTTTTAGAGCATGCAGAGAGAAATTACTGCTGCTCTCTTGCAGATAAGAGAAAATATTAAGCTTTTAAAACTTGCTAATATACCTGAGCTATTTGTGCAACTGTGTAAGCAATTAAAAAAAAGTTTGTGGTGGTTTTGTTGTTTGTTATTATGATATAAAGGTATTCATTCTCAGGTTCTTAACGGTATATGCTTTTTATAGATCATGTAGAAGCAAAAACTCGCCAACCTCAGTCAAAACTTGCCTTAAAGAAATTGCTGAACAAAATCAGAAGCCAAAAAGAGGAGTGGACGTCAAAAAGCGAGAAAGAGATTCAAAGTGAAGTTGAGACTATTGAATCAGGCACAATTGCTAGTGGAGAGAGACCACTGTGTGATTTAGAACTTAACTGTGAGCAACAGAAAAATACAGTGTGTGAAGCCCAAGGTATGTAATATGTACTGGCATCAAATTTTGTTTTGTAGAAGCAAAAAGACTTCTAAAGGGTGGACTGCAACAAAACTGTTTAATGAGATGCTTCTGGTGGTCATTTGTCATATTGCTGGAAAGTACAATTCTCCAGTATTTGTGCATTGTTGATTTGTTGAAATCACACATAGGAGAGGCTTTTGCTCTTTCGTGGAGAAGAGACATCCAAAATACTTTAATAGCTTTTAAATGTCACCCAGCTTGTCACACTTTGGCATTGCCATACTTTTAATAGGTGTTTGCCTCCGAGAGTAGAATTCCTAGTGCAAAACCAGGCATTGAAGTTCTGTATCAGTTGAACTGGAAAAGCCAGACACTTCAGAGATTCCAACAAGACAAGCCTGACCTGATGGGTCTGAACTCGTAGGTTGTTTGAGATTTTTTTTGATGCTTCTAGACACCATTTTGAAAAGCCTCTTTGTAAAACTGGAATTTATAGCAGTTAGACATTCCATTTTGTTTGGTAGCCAGATCATTTGGGGGTTACTTCCCATTTTTATCCTTTGTGCCCTTTTGGCTGTGCTAGTGCTGAAGCTGGTGAAATCGTATGCTAAGTAGGGTTTCTGAAGTGTTAAAGTCATCAACTTCGTGATGGATTTGTGTTTTTAGTTTTCATTTGTTTGAGGTTTGGTTTGTTTCCTTTTGCTTTCATAGGGTGCTTTTATTTTTTAACAAGATCAACTGATTTAGTTCAGTGGTGTACATGGATACACCAGCATAATGCCTGGGGACTGGAGAGAACAGCATGAGTGAGAACACGCCTCTGGGGAAAATGTGCTGCTATTTGAAGCTGATAGCACAGGATGAAGCCTTGCTTTTTGTGCAGTAGCCAGATGTTAGATCATTTGCCCAGAGAGTGCTAATTTTAGACCTTCTTTGTTCCAAGAGTTTAATGTGTGGATTTTTTTTTATTCCTTGGGATGATCTTGCTGTTAGGCTACCAAGTAATCTGGGTAAAAGAAATTTTCAGTCCTGCTGGAGATGTACCATTACTGTATATTCAAGAAAGACCCATGATAAAGATTAAAGACTTAAATAATAGAAAATAAAATCATTTTCAAGCTTGTGACGTCAAGCAGAGTAGTGAGATGGAGATGGTAATCTTTTCAAGAGCAGCTTATGCATTTTATTTGGAGAGATTGGGAAACTAAAGCAAGCTGTAAAGAAGATCCAATGCTCTTTCTGACTGCAATTACAGTTAAATAATGTGTATTTTAGACTCTGTGAAAATGTTGGAAAAGACAGTTGCAGCTGAAAATTCAGTTCTAATCCATCCTCAAGAACAAGCAGCTAAAATCAGAATGGAAGAGCAGAGACAAAAGTGGGTAAGTGTGTGTGCACTTACTGCTACCTCAGTTATGGTGTAAAGAAAGTGATTTACAGAAGGCTTTAAAATGCTTCAGGTTATACGGCACCTTTACAGTTACTTTTTAACATGCTTATAACAAATAAACTTCCACTGTAACATTTTCTATCCTTATCCTCTGTGTATTAACTTTTTGAAAATGATGAAGCTCCAGCTTAAATTTAGAATAGTGGGGAAAAAAAGTTTCTTGAAATGGAACAAGTGCTGTAGGTGAGGGATGCCAGCCTTGAGCATTTTGCTGTTTGGAGTTTTCTTTAATTAACTAGGAAACAAATGCAGAAAGTAATTTGTGTCTATGGGAATGCTACATGTATTGTATTTAGAAAATAATAATTAACATTGAGTTTAATATTTAAATGCATTGAACTCTTAATGAAAAGCTCTATAAAATGCAAAGTAGATTCTCTGAATTCGATTCAAGGAAAGGACTTTAGCGGTCTCTGGAAAATGGTGACGTATCTTGAGTGGTTAGATTCTGGTTTTATCCGTTCTGTTAATTTGAGAACAGGTAATAGTGCAAGAGTAAATGGATTCAGGGACTATTAGAAATCTCTAGCCAGTATAACAAAACCATTTTTGTAAACTTGGGAAGTATTTTGAAGGCCTCTTAAAATTTGGGGTTGCCTGTCACAAGCAATAAAATTTCTGTTGCAAAGTTTTGTGTGTGGTGATGTGTTTGAGGGGTCTTTCGGTTTCTTTGTTGTTCAGTTCTGGAGATTCACCGTATTTTTTTTTTTTGTTCCATAGAAGGAGCAAATAGAGCAACAGAAACAGGAACAGCTGGCCTTGCTTAAACAAATTGAAGCAGAGCGAGCACATTTGGAGGCTGATTTTCTGAGGATACAAATGCAAACCTGCTTGGAGGAGGCTAAGAACAAAAAAGAGGAGGAAGAACAAGGTCAGCTGCTACAACACCACAGTGTTCCTTCTACAGATCGGCAGAGCGAAGTGGAACATGAGGTGAAGAATTGTAGAAAATGATGATTTAGTTTTTTCATTATCCTTATTATAAAAATCAAGAGCACCCTTTGCCAGTTGTATCAATCAAGACAATTTTTATTTCATAGGCTGCTAATCAGAACTTCATAAAAGCTTCCTTTTGTCTAATGTAGAAGCTTGCATTTCACATGAAACACTGGACTTTGAATACTGTATTATGGTGCCAGGGACGGCATGTCTGTTGAAAATACCTGTTAGTAAAATCTGATTAGAGTCATACAGGGATTCTGCATGTACACATACCCTTGTTTAAGAAGAAAAAGAAATCTTAGAGAACGAAGAAAAAAAAGAGAAACCTCCCCACCTCTGTGGTTTCTTGTCTTTCTAAATCTCAAAGAGCTACTTAAAGGAAAGGAATTTATTGAGGATGTTGAAGGAAAGTAATCTTTTTAAAAAAAATGCTTGAATAATTTGCACAACCTGCACTTTTCTCCAAAACTGATTGCCTTGAAAATGCAGCTGTCTTGAATCATTGCTCCCTGAGTTCGCTACTGGGTGCGTTTACCTCTTTGAGCTAAGCTGCTGTAAGCACCATTGACTTTGACAGTGTGTGCTCTGCTTGCCAAGAGAGATGGTAGCTCTGGGCCATCTGTTCCAGAAACTGCTTTAGCTTCAGTGCCTCAGGCTTACATCTCACTGACTTCAAACGGTGGTATAGAGCAGCTTCTGTAAACCTAGGAGAAAGAACATACAGCTTAAGGTTGTTGCTTTAATAACTTTCCAGGGGTTATTTGTATCTATGCACTTAAAAATATTTTTTTTATTAGACTGGAAATGCTACTGTATCAGAAACCAGGAGCCCTAGAGAAGACAGCCATTTACAGGTGATCCGTAGTTATCAACAACGCCTTCTACAGCAAAATAGGTAAACTGCTTTATGAAAGGAAAGTCTGAGTTGCCTGTTTCAAAATAATTTGAATTGCTTTGATTATTGAAATTAATGTTTTCCTTCTGTTTAGGCTGCACAAACAGACCGTTGAAGAAGCCAGAAAGCATCTACAGGAGTATCAGAATAAATTGAAGCAAAGGTACTTGTCTGCTTCTGCAACGCCTCTGAACTCTGTGGAAACAAAAGCAATTAATTTAAAGCCTGTCTCAGAACCACTTCTGCAGAGGCAAGGAGTGCAACCGAGACAATACCAGTCACCTGAAGGAGTTCATGCACAGTCACTACCTGTGTTTCCAGGAACATTGCCTACGTTGGAAAAAACATCTTCACAGAAACCTGAAGAGCAAACGCAGAACATGGATCCTGACAGACACGCACAGTTTTTACAAGTTCCAAACTTGAAGCATGGAGAGTTTCACTTGCCATGTGGCTGTCCTTCACAGGAACCAGTGGGAGTGTTGGAAACCTCCAATAACCACGTTGGCGAACCATCTCCGTTCCAGTTCACATCGGGATTAGTCACGGAAGATGTCGCTGCAGTAAGAGCTCAACCAGAAGCACGTGTACAACACGTTAGATTTGTTTTGCCTCCAGAAGATCTCTCTGAGTCTTCAGAAACAGCACACTTCACAGAGTTGTCTCAGAAGGTGTCTAACCATCAAACAGAGACAGAAACTGGAGAAGAGCCTCCACATAAGACACCTCTCATGCCAGCAACAAAGGGGTCTCCTACAGTTCACATGGCATCAGTTGGCCCTTTGGCTTACCAGCAGGGATCTGCAGAGAGCACCATTGAAACAAGCCTCGAACAACCCCTCCGTCTTTCTGAACCCATGACTTTATCTCATGAAGAATCTGAAGCCCGAGGTATTGAGGAATTCTTGGTATCGAAACCAGGAGATGCTTCTTTATTAAATTATTCTGGTATACTGAATTTAAGGGACAGAGTGTTGGCCACATCGGAGAGTATCCAAGCTCAGCAAAAGTATTTGAAAGAATTGCAAGAGCAGTTAGATGCACGAAGAGAAGCTCTTCTTTCTAGGCAGAAAATCCAAGAACAACTACTTTTGGAGGAGCAAGATAAACTGAAGGAACAGATGCAGAGGCAGCAAGAGGCTTTGAAAGAGCTTCTGAACAAGCAGGTGAGCTTTATGAACGCATTGCACAGCGAGTCATCTAGTAGGTGATCAAACTTGAGAGGGAATGTTGCCAATTAGCAAAGTATCCCTTGGAGTGCTGATGGTTCTAGGTGATTTCCTGTAATGAAAATTTTAATTAGGGCTTGTGATTTGTAATCAGTAGTTCTTTTCTGTAAGCCCCAAGAGCGCCGTTCTGTTCAGTCTAGCAGAAATAGTATGAACTTATGTGCCTGCCCTCTGACATAATGCCAGTTTAAATAGTTTTGTTGTCTGAGATATCTGCAGGTATGGTTATGCAACTCTAGGTGTGATAAGGCTCTTGTATTAAAATTACTTGAGCAGTGCCTCAAAGGATATCGTAAGTAAGCAATTTGAATAGATTTTTTTAAAAAAGGTTTGTCTTTTTATGTGTACCCATTAGTAAATGGATTTGACAGCTGCACTCTTGACTTGTAATTTTGCTTGTTTCTAGGTAACAGAAGGAAAATCCCAGTTAATATTGGATTTTCTACAGAAGCTCCTTTTGCACTTTTTTTTTAAACAGAAGCGATCTTAGGAAAATAACTGTTGCCTATGGGCCCTGTCTCTTAACTTTTGCAGTTTCCAAGCAGCTAAATTTCCTGAATTCAGGAGCTGAAAACTAAAAGCAGACTTTGCAGGAAGTGCTCTTGTTAAAAATTCTGATCTAATCCAACCAAGGCCTTATAAAAGGCATGTAATTATGTTTTAGCAAATTAGGGTTGTAGAGCTAAATAAAATACCTATATGTCCAAATGCTTTTTGTAAGTTAAGCGAGTCTGCCCTGCGTGCTTTGAATTAGTTTCTCAAACTGTTCAACATCATCCTAGAATCTACACACAAGAAAATGCAGGTTTGATAAATGAGTTTAAAAGTAATCTTATATACAGTTCCTTCCTCCCCTCTCATTTTAAGGCAAGACGTGTCTGCACAAATGAAGAAATAGCACAGAAGCCTGACTGGATTAACAGGATTGACTTTGCCCAAGTCTCAGGAAACTACCAGCAAGAGAATTGCGACTGGAGGAAAGCTCAAGGGATTGATATGATTTCACCATCCGTCAGTCCAGTGGAACAAACTAGTATGGCTCTGTAGTATTTTCCTTTGTGACTTTTCTCTTTTTGAAGCTGGAGTTCTCTTCTATCTCTCTAAGTAAATTTTACATAAAAATATAGATATTTATATATTTATATTTATAACCACAACATGTGAAATGTTTTATTTTACAGACCAAACTGAGACAGTTCTATGCAGAGAACAGAAACGGAGATCTTCCAAACCACCTGTGGCAAAAGTCAAGTTAGGGCTTGATTTGGAACAACATGAGCTTAGTGTTATACCAGAGGTAGACACACCGAAGAGTTGCAACGTTTCTTTTGCAGGTAAAAGTGCATATATACAGATATAAAATATGTAATAAAAGCTGCTGTTCTTGAGAAATATAGATTGGAGGAAATTAAGCTTTTCTGAAGAGTCTTTGAGGTGTTTGTTCATAAGCTGTATAAACAGTTGATGCTGTTGGGTTTTTTTAAGGTATAATTTATATACCACCAAAGTGAGTTAGAGTTGAGAAAAGCTTATCCTGTAAGTGTCTGTCTAGAAAAATATAATCAAGCCAAAATTTCACCCAGGAAAGAGTCCCTGTAATTCCATGACTTTAGTACCCTGTTCATTCTTCTGTTAATAGACACTTGTCCAGGAATTAAGGGAACCATCAGAGTTGATGGGCAGTGTTTAAAGGTTTAACTTTTGAGCATATCAAGAACGTGAGTGTGAAATCTTTTAAATAAGGACTTAGTATTGAGTTTCTACAGAAACTTTTAGACTGTCTTTCTAGTTCTGGGTTTTTGGTTATTTTATTTTTTTTTAAGTTACAAAACACTCTAAAAATTTGAGAGAGCAACTATACAAAGGTATTATTTTCTAAGTATGTTTGTTACAGTCTGCATGCAATGCTTTGTAATTCTCTGTAAGGAACATTAATAGGTACAACAAACCAATGTTTTTCCAAATGTAAACATTTAATGCTTTTTAAGTGTCTTCATATCTTAATATTTAATGTGTATTTTATAAAAGTTTTGATACTGTGCCAGTGTTTTTAAAAGGACTAAGCAGAACAATCTGAATAATTACAGGCCTATTAGGCAGGCTGGCATTCATCTTGAGCAAATTAATGAAAGAGCTGATATGGGACATTTTTTAATGAAAAAAAGTGATTAGTGCTAGTCAACATCAGGTTATGCAGAATGATTCTGGCTGAGCCAACCTGGTGTCTTGATTAGGCAGCAAGCTTTGTTGGTGAAGGTTTTGATTGAAGAATATATTTATGTTCTCAAAAGCACTTGGCTTAGTGTTTAAACATATTCATTTTCTAAAAAAAATCAAAATACTTACAAAAAAAATTATCCAATGGAGTTCTAGAGTTAGGAATACTCATTTTCTATGCAATCCCATTATGAACCACAGATGATTTACTCCTATATTATCTAACCCTTGGTCATGGTAGGTAGTGAGAAGTTTAACTTGAGTATTTTTTATTTGTTTGTTTTGTCTTTTTTTCTGTTGGGTTGGGTGGGCAAAAAGGGCTGTTGTGTGGGGCAGACTGGGGAGAACAGAAATCTTTAAGCCAGAGCAGAGAAGTTATCTTGCCTCTGGATTTAGAAAAATAACTGAAAGCTTTGATGGATTCACTATGTGGAAGAATTTGTTAGATTGTTTCTTTTTTCAAGTCATATTTTTGTTGAGTTAAGATTATTATTTTTGAGACGTCTATGACCTGTGTAATCTGTAGACTTTGTAATGGAAGGGTTTTACTGACCTAATATGGCAAACTTTATTAAAATGGTGAGGCACTGTACAAATTGAGATTGTTTCTGTAGAATACCATATATAGCCTAATGTTTCTTTTATGAATGCAAAACACTGCATTTCCATACCTAAACTGTTGATGAATGCTTTAATTTCAGACAAAACAGGTTCTGTTGGTGGAGGGTCTTCTCCCATTTCAACAATTGGGGAGTTTTTGCATGCGAAACGTTACCGTCGTGCCCTTCCTGAGGCAGGCAGCTTTCATTGCAGCACAGCCAGCTGTGACCAACAGCTCTCTGGTGGAAGTCCGAGGCAAAGTAAAGAGTCAAGTAGATTGTTACGAGAGGTGCTGCTGCTGACGGCTGAAAACTCATGTGATTCAGGTGAGGAAATCCTCTTGCTTCAAGGAATTCTGTGAATGCTGTTCAGTACTGAGAACTTGACTGCTGTTTATGTGTAGCATATGGCCTGGTTTGTTAAAGAGCATGCAGTGCTGCTGAAATACTGTTTCAGGCTAAAAAAGGGTGTTTCAATGAGTATGTGTCTCAGAATGACTGGGTTTTCCTCTTGAGTTGGTGATCTGTTGCCGTTCTACTCGCAGAAGCACACGCTGCAGTAAACTTGGCTGGTAGTCAAGAGGCTCATGTAAGGCACAAGCTTTGTATCTGGACCTTGTAGAACAGTCTGTACAGAAATTTCTTCTGTGCTACCTGAACATCCTGTATAAAGAATGGCATAAAATACAGTTGAGACAACGAAAGTAGAAGCCTAAATGTTATCCTTAGCTCAAAGAAGCAACTTTGAAAGAATCAGCCCTTAGTTATGATAGAAACAAAAATAGTGCAATAATGTTAGAATCAATTCTCATCTTTTCTGTTCATCTGTGAAGCGATTCTATTAGAGGTCACACGTTTGAGGATAGTGTGTGGCAACGTCTGATTCCATAAATCAAACTAAGATGAATTTGTTAATAAAAAAAACCTTTGGGCTATAAAGTGGTTTGTGAATGTTCAAAATAATTTTGTTAAGAGATTGTTGAAATCTAATCATGTCATGGGTAGCTTGACTGGCTTTTAGACTAGTCTTGGGCAATGCAGAAAGTGGGCTCCTAAGAAGTTTTTCAAGAGATTGGATGTCAAGTGGATGTCAAGGTGTTTAATTCTTACTGGTTTTGCTTGCCTATCCAAATTTAGCTTGTCTGTCCATGCTTGGAATAACATGAACTCAAAAGCTTTGGTGCTTCCAGTTACTGTGCACTTGCTTCTCTTGAAATTTCCTGCAGATTGAAATGTTTAGTTTGTGTCAAGACATCCCTTTCAACTCAATCAGGATTTACTAGGAATTGAATTTGGGTTTAATGAGTGCATATAAGCTCATTTTCTTTCAGCTGCTTCCTTTAGTTCTCAGAATGCTTTTTGAAATATACCTATATTTAAGTTTAAATTATCCTTAGAAAAGAAAATTCTCTAGTGATATTTGAAGAAAAGGCTTGTATTTTTCTAAGTTGTAGAAGCTTTGCTAGATCAGCCATTCATGGATCATTCTGTGATTCTGTGATCCATTTACAAGTTAATATGAAATCACAGAATATCTTTTTCCATTAGTGAATAATATATATGAATAGTGCAGTGGTCTATGTAAGAGGATTAGAAAACTTAATGTGAACATCTATATTTATTTAAAAAAGAGAAGGCAAAGCTTTCTGTGATTGTATATTTAAGAGGATTTTCCTCTGGAGCTTTGTCATTTGATGGCTGCAAAACACTCCCTGGTACTTTGGGTGACTACTGCAGTGTCTTCAGCAAGAAAGTCTACAGTCTGTGTTAAATATCAAATTTCTGAATGGGAAATTTTAAGGTGCCTTTGAGTGCTTTGTATATTCAATCTTTGACCTTATTCTTTGAAGATGTGTTCTTGGTGGCTTCTACCTTCAGTCAAATAACGTAAAGGCTTACAGCTTGTGATTTGTATTGCTTTCCTGACTACAGAACCACTCAGTGGGCACAAATCCTATTAATGCCTGCTCACCTGCTTTTTCGAAATAAAACATTAAAGATAAAAAGATAAAAGTTATACGTGGTCTTAAAAGATAAGCTTGATAATCAAGTATCCAAGCAGATTTACCAACAGAGGTGAATGTCTTTTGATAGGAGACTTGTCCTTGTAAGAAGCAATTTGTTGGTTTTTTGTAATTCTATAATTAGCTACATTCCTTCCAGTTATTACAAGAAGAAACATAACCCTCTGAAATATAGAGGCAGACATGTCTGAATGTAAAGCGAGTCATAAGGACTGCTGCCGTTTCGGGGAGGGTCATTCCCTGTGCCCAGTACCGAGTGGTTCCTGGGGCCACACCAACTGAGCAGTTGCCGGGTGGCAGCTGGAGAGGACAGGGGGCTGTTAAGGGGGTGTTGCAGTAAGTGCCACCAGCGAGGCAAAGATTCGGGGCGCTCTCTCTCAGCGTGCCACAGGTGTATGATGAGATGTGTTAGGAACTCCAAACACTCGATATTTATTCTTCCCAATCCAGTTTGGTGCCACTAGAAGGCAAATTGTTAATGTGGAACTGCAGAGTAACCCTACAGATGGGACAGGCAGTTCGGTGGCATGAACCTGATTTCCTTGGGAAGTGAGCCTGAAAGAAGTGCCTAGATGCGACACGTACACCTCCTCCAGTAGCTATCAACGGGTTTGTCACTCTTAATTCGTCTTCGGTTTTAATTGTCCCTTTGAGCAGTGTTCCAGGTGTGATTATCTTCATGTATTGCTACCCAGTACAGAGATGTTCTTCTAAGTGTGGTTATTTTTTGTGTGATGCAAACTAACCCAAGATTTCAATTTACTTTTAGTAATCCCAAGTATTTGTCCATAATTCATTATTGTGACAAATTGTCTTATGCATCACCAATGCAAACCAGTGGGGAGTACCACTTTTTTTTTGTACATCCACGTGGTTGCATTTGGACTAATTTCTTGTTTTTATATTGTCTTCAGTGAGTGGTTGGTTGTTCAATCTTTTGATTCTCAAACTGCACCCTTCTATTTTACAACAGTTTCTGCTGGGGAGTTAAAAAAAGCGCCTTCTGGATATTACAGACTCAGTTTTTAAATACAAGTTTTTTGTCACAGTGTAGTGGCCAGGAGGTTAAAACATGAAAGTCTGTGTCGATGTCGGCAAGCTGTGAGGAACAAGAACTTTGGACTCTTATTGTGGAGGAAGAAGAAAATTAAATACTCTCTATTCTGAGTCACCACGTATATATATTTTTAAGGATATCAATGTAATAGTCATGAGATATGAGCATGCTGTATTTTTAATTAAATAATTCGGTTTATAGCATGAAATTTCTACTTTTCACCCCTTGAATTAATTTTACAAGAACAATGCAGATTATTACAGCATAGTAATGAAACATTTGTAGCATAACTCTCCATAGAATTTATATACAAGAGAGTATTATATGCTTGAATATCATCTCATATGTATCCTAAATTACTACCTGTCACGCTAATATCCTTTGGAAAATAGAATCATTTCTTTCAGAAAAATATCTAATCTTAATGTAGAGGTATCAGAAAATGGAGAATTCTCTGGTAGCTTGTTCCAGCATTTATTTTTCTTGATCAGATTATAAAATGAATGGTTTGTTTCCAGTTTCTGAATGTCTGGCAGCCATTTCTAGCCACTACCTTTTGTTATTACTTTCTTTCAGTTTCAAAATCTTTTGTACTGTGCGCTGATATTTAAATAGCAGGAGATCATGTGATGGCAGTTTCCGTGCCATTTCAAGTTTCTGCAAGGCTTTGCGCGTTTTTGGGATCCTCTGTCTCCTATCTTCTGCTCCAAAGCAGAGCAGACTTCTGCGGGGTGTGGAGAGTCTGTCGTGCTGCTTCCACATCCAGCCAAGGAACTTGGTGCCACCGTATCCTACTCCAACTTTAAAATTTACCTTCCCTTTGAACCCAAAGACCTTTGTCCCATACTTCTAGTAAAGGGATCAGAAACCCGTGTTCTGTGCTCTTAGATTTATCGTTTTGTCTGTATCGCACTGCTGTTTAACAGACCCAGCTTTGCAGGAGGGTGAGGTAGTGTTTTAGGTTGCAGTGCTGCTGCATTCCTGTACCGTTCTGCAGCTCCTCAGGTTATTTGCAAACTGTGTTGCCAACAGCTTTGTTTGGTTACTGATCAAAATGTCTTAAATGATGAGGATCAAGCCTGCTAGAAGTTTCTGGAGAACTTTTGAGTGTGGAGGGAAGATAAGTCATTTGAGACCTTCTTTACCCTTTATTTTGAGATCAGTAGTTAGCGTTTAATGTAACAATGAATAAATGAATTAAGAATAGCTCCAATTCTCTTTTAATCTAAACTTAGAGCTATTTTCTTCTGTGTCCTGTATTTTCTCCTATAAGAGTACTGAATGACAGTAGCTATAGAAAAGTTTAAATTATTTTTTTTTTTATGCCTCTTCCTGGAATGAGTTTCAGTGTTTCATATTGATTGAGAGAGATCATCATACAGATACTTCCCTGCAATTGCCTCACAGGGGAAACTTCTCAACTCTTTTTTTGTATAGGAGAAAAAAATAGAACTGGACTTCATATTCCAGTAAGAAAATGAGTTTCAGTTAATGCGGGATACAAACTAGTGTTAGGATTCACAAAATGTTACGGGATCTGCCGAAGTACAGAGCCTTACAAATGTTGGTGGTTTAAAACATCTCTGTCACTGGCAGCCCTTGTAGAATTGGAAGAAAACATACCTACTTCACCTCTACTCTTTAATTTCAGTTTCATATTTAGCGCTTCTTTCTTGAAAATTAATCCTAGAATTAAGAATACTTATTTGAGTTGTTTGTTGGAAATAATTTAATTTTAGAATTGTCAGTCATTGAAGGTGCTTGTCAGCACTGAATATAGAAATTCCATTTTAGTGGTGCTGCTCTGGTGCTTCTTTTGCACAGATACTGATGTTATTTTTCTGTGTAAGAGCATTACAGCAAAGGTGATTTAGTTCCGTGGTACTAGGCATGCTATAGCTAAGTAATTCAGTGGTTTTGATTTCTCTGATCTGCTTAGCATGTCTGCTTTTCTTTGCAATCATTGTAATGGCAGTGGGCAAACAATTTCCCCCACCCTATTTAAATTATGTAGGAAGACTAGCAAAGCCAAGTTTCTTTCTGCAAAACCAGAGAATGAAGTTCTAGCTCTTTCTGCATTCTCTGCAGCAAGCAGCCGTACTAGTTAGAAATTTTAGGAAGGCTGATCAAGGAGAACGACTGGCTGCCAATTAAATAGGTACAGTGGACCAGAAAGTATGTTGTAGGTGAGGAGAAAGTGGTAGTGATGAGTGAAGTCGGTGCCTTAGTAGCGAGGACAGCAGCAGCAGTGTGTGACTGCCATCTGGTGTCCAAAAAAACTTGCTATCTAGGAACCCCAAAGTTGTTTTCTATTCCTGATTGCTTCTATTGCACTTGTGCTCAGGCCAGTCCCAGGATTCTCAAGTGGCTCAAGATTTACCAGTTCTTGCTGCTGGAATTGGAGAGGAAATTACACCACGTTCTGGACCGTCATTCAGACTTGATAATACGGTTAGTCATATCAAAATAACCATATAACATAACTTTTTATTTTGTGGTGAAATCTTTCTACCTCGTATTGAGGGCCTAAGACTTGTGTCATATTCTCTGTGCAGCAGCGTAAGAGGCACCGAGTGAGGAGGTGTAATCACTGGTGATATTCCTGTTCCTGCAGCACAGGATGCTGTCTCCCCTCTTTGCTGCCCTGTCACACCGTGGGCTCTCGATGAGACTCTTGGGCCCTTTTTCACAGGGCACTTGCCAGGCAGGCTCCAGCTTGGACCGGTGCATGAGAATCTTCCTTCCCAGGTGCTGGACTTCATGTTTGCTCTGGCTGAATTTCATAACATCGCTGCAGGGTTGGCTGTGCAAGGTCTTTCCGGGTGCCAGCCCTGCCATTTAGTAGATCGGCTGGTCCTCCCAGCTCGGGGTTGTCTGCACACCTGACAGAGTGTGCTGTCACCTCCTGTGGGCCAAAGGTGTTAAAGAGAGTCACAGAATCATAGAGCAGTTTCAACTGGAAGAGACCTTCAAGACCACAGAGTCCAACCTTTGTCCTAGCCCTGTCAGCACCGCTAAGCCATGTCCCTCAGCACAACATCTATCCATTTGCTAAAACACCTCCAGGGATGGTGACTCAACCACCTCCCTGGGCAGCCTGTTCCAACAACTCCTTCAGTAAAGAAATTCTTCCTAATTTCCAACCTGAACCTCTCCTGGTGTAACTGAGGCCATTTCCCCTTGTCCTGTCACTCACCACTAGGCAGAACAGACCAACCCCTGCCTCTCTACAACCTCCTTTCAAGTAGTAGAGAGTGATGAGGTCTCCCCTTGATCTCCTCCAGGCTGAACAGCCCCAGATCCCTCAGCCATTCTTCATACGACTTGTGTTCTAAGCCCTTTACCAGCTTGGCAGCCGCCTCTGTACTCTCTCCAGCACCTCAGTGTCCCTCTTGGAGTGAGGGGCCCAAAACTGGACACGGCACTCGAGGTGTGGCCTCACCAAAGCTGAGCACAGGAGCATGATCACCTCCCTGCTCCTGCTGACAACACCATTCCTGACACAGGCCAGGATGCCGTTGGCCTTCTTGGCCACCTGGGCACACTGCTGGCTCATGTTCAGCCGGCCAGCTGTTAACACCTCTGCCTGGCAGCTCTCCAGCCGCTCCCCCCCAAGCCTGTAGCTCTGCTGGGGGTAGTTGTGGCCATGAGGACAGGTACTAGGATGGAGCCGTGTTCCACTTGTCCCCCACCTCCAGGCAGAGTGTGACCCTTTACTTGCTGTCCTCTGAGCCTCATTATCCAGCCAGGTTTTTACCCACCTCGTCTGTCCCAGTTGTGGCATCCAAACTGGGCCACAAGAATGTTTTGAGACAGTGTCTAAAGCCTTGCCAAAATCAACACCGGTAATAACCCCTGCTTTTCCCTCACCCAAAGATCCCATTGTTTATCAGGAGATAAAAACTGTGTTTAAAAATGCTATGTGTAACATAGATACATGTGTATATAAAATTACTTTTAAATTTATATGTTTTATGTGTACATTAATGTGTTTATGTAAGGTAGTGTATAGCAAACAATGTAGGTGGGAGATTTCTTAGATTTCTCCTTTTTTCATAGTGCAGGTTTTAATTCAGAGTTTGGGAAGAAATGTTCATATCTAATATTTTAACATTTGGAAGTACAGGAACCCTCATCCTCTGTTTTGTGACTTTGTAAGAGTAAGAGCTTACCTCAAAATTAAGGAAGATAATGTTTTAGGACATTTTGTGCATGTTTAGTTTAATTTTGTAACATTAAATTTCTGAGTCTGTCTTCTGTATACGAAAGGTTCAGTATTGCAAGTACTTGCAAAATTCCTGAGTTTTTCATGTATTGTGTGTGTTCCTCTGAGATCCACAACTTTACTGAAGTGGATCTGTGATGAGAAATAGCCAAATCTGACCACCAGAAGATAAAATAATCTTCTAGGTGTCATGATTTCTATGCAGTTCTGAGAGGCTTTATCGTTCTGCGTGTGTTTGTGTGTGTGTGTGTGTGTGTGTTGAGGGGAAGGGAGGGGAGGGGGCTGCTGGGGAGCGACATGTCTGGGACGTTGGGTGTGAACGTTCTGTGCTGAGCGACGATGAATCCGTCTGAGCCTGACTGTGCCCAACATGAAGGCTTCTACACTTGACCTGAGCTCAGAATGAAGTGTGCCATTTGAAAACCTCGGTTATGGATACCCGGCTGTGTGGTAATAGGGGTGCTTCATCCTAGGAAGTACTTTCCAAAGTAGGATCCATGAACTTTGGGCCAGAGGCTTTTGCGCAAGGAATACCCTGGGACTTATCTTCAACAATTTCCACTGGAAGTTTTTCAACTGGTGAAACGTTGGATGCCAGCCCTGTTGACACTGGTAAGCATTTGGGTGGTGTTGTTCATGTTAAAAGAAAATTGTGTATTCTCTTTATTTTGTAGCAGAATGGATCTAACTCACTGGGCATAAGTTCTTCTGAAGTAGGCTCATGTGGAACTTCACTTATGAGTAATTAGAAGAGCTTACAGAGTTGAGCATAACTGGAATGTGTTGTTATTTCCTTACGATTTTTTTACTTTTATAATAATTTAACCTCAGTGCCTCCACTTTGGCAAAGGATACTTTGAGTTTCACTAAGCAACGGTAACATTAGCAGTTTTCAAGTGGCAAAATTTTAAACCCAACTGATCCCCAAGTGATGCACAGAAGAAAACTTTCTAATCAGTGTATATGATGGATTGTTACAGGGCTGTGATTGTTATCTTGCTGTTAAGAGAATATTTCTAATATTTACTTGTCACCATAGTAATAAGTAATAATAATTTAATAAGAACTTATTTGTGAAAGTGTCATTTGAATGCTGTATTGAGTTTTGATAGCTTTTCTGAAATGTGTCTTCATTTCCCTTTCGCTTGCGACTGGGCTCTTGATCATAAAATTAAAAATAATTCCTGTATGATAAATACATAGTTGCTCCTCTAGATACTAACGTGGTCACTTGTGAGTATGGAAAAAGGGAGTTTGAAAGTGATTAAATAGTGACCTGTGGACTTACTTATTTTAAGGCTTAATATTGTGCTAATTTAACACATATCTGATCTCATAAATATATGTGTTGTTTATAAATCAGTTTTTGAGTTCTGCAGTTTTTACAGCCCTAGTCTTCAGTGATTCTTTTTAACCCATATATTCTAAACTGGAAGTGCTATTTTGAGTAATAAACTGCACAACACATGACAAAACCGTGTTTTAGTGACATGAAAAAAACTAAAACAAATTCTAAGAACATCTGTGTGTAGCTTTTCTTGGTAGTGGTTTTTTTTTTTGTTGTTATGCAAGGAAAGCACCAAAGATTTTGGTTACTCAGCTGCATGAATAAATTGAAGCCTGGCTGTGTCTTCACCATACACTCAGTGCTTTAATAATGACCTTTTGTTACAGCTTTGTGCAATTCTTCTGTAGGTATATAGACAAAGAGGGGTTGGTGCCTGAGCTGTGAACACTTTTTGGCTGCCTCACATTTCTTGTGTTGGTTTTAAGCATGAATAGAACTGCTGCACGATGTCATAAAGGTACAGAAGATCGCATTAGATTGACATGTTTATGTACAATAGGAGGTAAAAATGTGCTGCCTGGCATAAAATAACAGCGTTAATTCCTTTCTGGTTTCATTGTATCAATATTTCCTGAGTCTACATGCTCTGAGAGTGCTAAGCTGCACTGATGTTGTCAGTTTGAATTTGTGGAAATTTGTGGTAAGGTTTGTGGGAGTGTTTACAGGAGGCAATTAAAGAAACAAAACCCCCGAGCTCTGTACAAATATTTCAGGATGTTAAGCAGCGCCTTTTCAGATGACTTCATGTAAGTGGTTTATATGCAGATTGTGAACATCTAGCTTGCTGTTTCAGGATTATCTTCTGATGGTGCGGAAGGTGGAATTTTGAGAGAAGCAGCAAGCTGCTCTTGGAACTCCTCACCACCTCATACCTTGCAGCAAAGGAAAGAGAACTCGGCTGGAGCATCTGAAACTCGGTTGCCTGAAGCAGAGATGTACCCTTATAAAGGAAGTCAGATACAGCAGATCTTGGGGAAACATACCACAGGCTTGAACTCTTACTCAGAGGGCAAGACGCTTTTCCAAGGTATTTGCCATTTTAAAGCATTTTTGTGCTGTGATCTCGTACAGAATCACAGAATATTGGGGATTGGAAGGGACCCCTAGAGATCAGCTGGTCCAAACTCCCTGCCAGAGCAGGGTCACCCGAAGTAGCTCATGCAGGAACGTGTCCAGGCCAGTCTTGAAAGCCTCCAGAGATGAGACTCCACACCCTCTCTGGGCAGCCTGTGCCAGTGCTCCGTCACCCTCACAGTGAAAAAGTTTTTCCTTATGTTTCTGTGGAACCTCCTGTGCTCCAGTTTGCACCTGTTGCCCCTTGTCCTGTCCTTGGATGTCACTGAGAAGAAGAGTTTACTCAATGTTGTGTGTTAGTCTGTAGTTCTGGCTTGCATTTTGAAGTCAGTAAGGATTTGACCTGTGAGAACCCTGATGCTTTGGTGGTGTTCATGCTTTGCTTTATGTCCATGTCTGTATAGCATAGTGTAGTGCAAAAAAAAAAAAAGATAGCCTGATCAGCTATTTGTCTGATCATAGTCTTGTTCTGCGTGGCTGGGCCTGCTGGCATGGCCAGACTGTCTGTTATCTCTGTCAATTTTATCACTTGTTTATGCACAACTTTCTCTTCAGGCAGATAGGGAAGCTGTAAGATTTGGTTACTCACATAGGGTCACACAGATGGTGAAACACTGATGAGCAGGGTGGTGGGAGTTCTGTGTTCTCTAGAAGAATGTAACAATTCATGAGAATAAGAACTAAGAACATCTTTATGAAGATAACACCACTTCCCACTGGAATGTTTGAAAACTGGCAATCATACAATTATAGATTAATCTAGATCAAGGAGGACTTCTAAGTATATGATCCAGATTCTTCTTCCTGCTCACAACAGAGCCAACTTAGACCAGGTTCCTTAAGGTTTTGTCTAGGCAAAGTCTGAATACCTCCAAGAGGTATTCACCTCTGTATTATTTTTTTAAGCTTCTCTTTGAACATCGTGTCCTTCATCCTTCTTTGATTCATCCTTGTAACTCTTCACTGGTCTTGTTTCTGATGTGATCTCAAATGCTGAACAAAGAGTTTATGGACTTAAGCTTTTAATTTAAAAAAAAAAAATTGCATCAGTGTAGCACTTCCTTTGCTGCTTTTTATACCTGCATTGTATCAGAGGGAAATAACTGGATGTTGTAAAGAATAATTTCTTTTTTTAATACAAGCTAGTATTTGTACATTTGCAGACTTCTATATGCTTCAGTTAGTGTGTACAGAAGCAACGTGTGATATGTCTGGTTATTTTGAGGGGGGTTGGTTTGGGGGTTTTTTTTGTTTGTTTTAAAAATGACCTCTTTTCCTATAGCTCTAGCAGCTGAACCTGATTTTCCTGAAACGGAGAGACATTTTCTGACCTTCCATCACCAGCTCTTTCAGCCTTTGAAACCAAGTCTTGACTCTGATACTTCATCGTCCTGTTCTCAATACAGAGCCTCCCAAGACAGTAGAAAATTTAGCAAGGTACTACAGGAAGAAGCTCTGATAAAAGAAATACTTTGGCTTAACATTTCTGTAAGATTTAAATGTATAATCCTTATACTGTCTTCTCTTTAGAAGAAACACAATTGTAATTTTTTATATACTTAGAACTGGAAGTGGTTTTGCTGTAGCACAAATGTCACCCAAAAGTCAAATATTGCTTTTAATATTTTTTATTCTTTGTATTTCTGAGAAAATGAATATTAAAGCAATATTTTTCTTCTGCCACTAGACTTCAAAATTTTCAATGCAAAGTCAAGACGTGTCTGCGTTTCTTGAAGTGGGAAGCTCCAGTGTGGGTATAGGAAGGAGCAGTCTGCCTCCTAGTCCTGAACCAAACACCATCACGTCGGAGGAGGAGTCTGTTAAAGAACACGTTACGCCAGGTACGTACTGGATAGTCAGGGGAATGCTTGCAGAATCAACCTCGTGCCATTTCGTAAATACCGGCCCTTAAGGCAGGCTTGCGTTGAAACTGGGAAGGAGCTCTTTGCTTCTTCGTCAGCTCTGCTTTGAGATGTCTGAATTCTGCTGCTGCTCTCTCACACGCTGGCATCTCCACCTCCTTTCCTGGCTAGAACTCCTAAGCTGCGTGATGTTCTTTACTTCCTCAGCAGTTAGGACTTTGACACAGAAGCAGACCTGCATATTCGAGTCGCTGTAATGGATATTATGGTATTTATTACAAGAATCACTATGTTAATGAAGAAATATCAGCTCTGGCTGAAATTGTCAGTTTAAGAAATTTTCCAGATATTTTTTCAGGTATATCCATTGCCTTGCAAGTTTGGGGCAATTAAGGAAGTTTCATAAAATGAATAAGATTTTTTTTTTGAAGTTTGATAAAATGAAAAGGATTTTTTTTGAGGTATATGTTGTAGAATCTCTCTGATACTACTCCTTTTCTGTTTTCTGTTGTATCCTTCAAGAAACCATTGAATTTTTCTTTTCCACTGTGAAGCCACACCAAGAGGCATTATGTACTGCACCCAGGGATTTTTGGTCTGACTATAGAATTGCTTTAGCTATCTACATAATACAGGAAGAAAGAGGAAGGAATAGAAGTCGAGATTACGGTTAGCTCAGTTGGTTGAGCATGGTGCTGGTAACACCAAGGTTGCGGGTTCGATTCCTGTTCCGTCCCCATGTGCTGCCTGGTCTAGTCGAGAGGTGGCGTCCCTGCCCAAGACAGGGAGGTTGGATTAACTGATCTCTAAGGTCCCTTCCAGCCTAGGCCATTCTGTGATTTAGTAGATTAAGTTTATGATTCTGCAGCAGCGTTAACTGCAGCTCATAGGAGGAGAAGTAGTTTTAATGTTTTGCAGTTGAATTCAAATTAAACTGATATTTCCCTTATACCACAGAAAAGGACCAATCAGAAATTCCAAATGCAGCTGGTAGTAATATAAATATTTCTGAAGCTCTTATTTAGCAAGAATCGGGTGTTTCAGCATTTTAAGGTGCTCCACCAGCAAGCTGCACAGGAACAGGAAACAGCACAATATATTAAGCAACAGGTGGATTTATAATGTTCCTGGTCAGTCGTCTTTGTTATTTTCATATGTGTATGTACAGGCTTTGAAAATACACACTATTCATGTTTAAAGCTGCAAGCAACTACTCCGAGTCTATTATGCTTCTCTTTCTCTTCAGCTGGCAGATGCTGTTATTAAAAAAAGAAAAGTATTAAAAAATGCCAGAAGAGGCTTATTGCACTTTGAGACTACCAGTGATTGCAGCAAATAGCATTTAGGAAGCTCCCTTCTAATTTCAAAATATCTAAATTGCTTATAGAAATAATCTTTGTGCTTAAAATGTAACTGCAATATCTCCCCATCTCTTAAAATATTTTTATAACCCCAAACCAATTATTCTTGTGCTTTAAAAGGGAGGAGGAAAAAAAGCAGCAGGCTGAGCAAGTGAAAACTTATTTTGGGTTGTTAGTTCAAGGTAGGTCAATATGTAAGTCCATCATGTGGAGAACTTCGGTAGTCGTGGCTGAGGTTGCAGTGCAATTCCTCCGTCCCCGTCAACAACAATTTATCAGGAGACAGTATTCTTTATCCATGTAAAACTAGATATTTTCCACGTGTGAAAAGAATCTAAAAAGAAAAAAAAAAAAGGAAACCTTTAAATGTTGTGTGAGGTAGTGATGTAGTTCTGTGTGTGTGTATAAAAAGCCCTTTGGTGACATGATGCTGCAGTCGGTGTCACTAATTGCTTTCCCAGCAATTCAAAAGGTGATACCTAATCCTTCACTTTTCCCAGCCTCTTCTGGAAGAAATAGTACCTTGATTTGTACGTGCAGATCTAAAGGGAAAGATAACGTAGGGTGCAGTATTGTAACTTGTAGGGACAGCAGTTGTTGTTCCAGTTTAGGTGTTTTCTGCTTTGAAGAGTTTCTCCCCAAACACGGATGTTTTGGATTGTTTTCTTCAGAGACCCAAAAGTGTCTCAAAGGACTTTCATTTACGGAGTATAAGCTGTAAAGTCCGTTGACTGAGCACTGCCACAGAGTCTGTCCCTAAGCATATTCTAAGAAGCAACAAAAAGTGTTTCCTGAAGTTGATCTGTGTACGAAGGAATCATTTTATCTAATGTTATTGGTATTAACTTGAAGAAACTTAAGGAGGCTTTTTTAAACAGAATGTTTCTTCCTATTTACTAGACTTATTATACTGACAAGTCTTATCATGGAGAGCCTTTTTAAAGTTGAAATTCTGCTGTGCTAGCTGGAATTTTTGACTCTTGATAATTTTTTGGAACAGGATCTGAAGAATCTTTTCACCCACTGCAATTAGAATCTACACTGAGCGATTACTGTTCGAACGCTGATCAGGCAGCAGACCTTAAGGTGATGCTACAGAGATCTTTTGAACAGACCCCTGGGATTAAAAAACGGGGCAACGAGAGCTGTGTTTCATCTGCCAGAGAATACGAAGAACTGGCGAGAAATATGGAATGTATTCATCTCCAGTGGTCAGCGGAAGAACTGCAAACTGAAAGTCCAAACCCACTGAAAGAGCAAAAATCATTTCACCAGCGAAATACCACACCAGTTACAGTGGATGAAACTTTCCCTCAACACTTACTAAAAGAGGCTGTGTCTTCCGAAAAATCACCTCTGGAGGCATTTGATAAGGAGTATGTGAAGCTTCCTGAAATACCAGTTCATGCAGATGAAGCAAATAAAGCTGTGAAGATGGATCCTCGGTGTGATACAAATATAAAGGAGCCAGATCAAAGCTTGCCAGGCAGACAGAAATCTTCGAGGGTTCCCAGAGAAACCAACTTGGAAGACTCAGACATCCATTCACGTGCTGTCGCACAACAGAATGTCTCTTTCCTGGAAAGACATGAAAAACATTCCAGTTCTGTGTCCAGAAGCTCATGTCGTATTCCAGTCTGGGTGAGTAAAACAGATTTCCAAAAGCAGTAATTTGTGCAGGCTTTTTTTTTCTTTTGTTGTTGGGTTTTTCGTATTGTTGCACCCACTTATTTTAGACCTTTAGTATCTGAAAGCTTGGCAAAGGTTGATTTTTATTTTTTTTTAAAAAAAAAAGTTTAACAGTTTTAGTTTAAGACTTGAGTGTTGCCTGCACTTCTGCCCTACTGCTTCTTTCAGCTCATAGCTCATAATTAGAAATTTTTACACTGATGCCTTTTACAATTCATTTTCCAGGAGACCGCATCGGGGCGTGGTATCATGGAAGAACCTGAACTCACTCTCCTAAGCTCAAATGACATCAGTCTTGCAGAATCAGACACTGAACGCACAAACCAAGAGAAGATGAAAGATGGTGAAATCAGTGACCTGTCGTGTGTGGATCGGTCTGAATTTAATGGTTTTTCTGAGGTGAGTCTTATTATCTGATGTAATTCTGATTTTAACTTAGTCTTAACCCTAATAAGGAGTGGCCCAGCTGCAGCAGTTAATCCTCTGTAGCAAAACGAGGATGTCAGGGTTATCTGAGCTTAGCACATTCTGGGCTCATCCTCTTTTGATGTGTTCTCTAGACAGACCTAAAAGAACTTAGATTCGGGCTGTTCCTTAACATCACTACCTGCACAATCCAGAGTTTGCAAAGATTCTGCTGCTGTGAAAGAACCCTCTTGTGGGTGTCTGCAAGACTGAATTGTAGCCCGTTAAGCTGAAGATTTGAATGAGAGGAGAGGGCAGGATAGAACAAAAGCTACAAACCAAACAGGGAAAAAAGGAAATAAATCCCTCCACCAGAGGCACGTGGTAGTTGTTAAATTTGCGAGGGAAATAATTATTGGCTCGTCATTCTAACCATGGAAACGTGACAGTGCTGTGCTTTTTGTCATTTGCTTGTATAAAGCAAAGGCCACGAGTTACGGAAGGGCTGGTTTGTAACGACAGAATAGTTTGGGTGCCCAAGCGGTTAAGTCGTGCGCGTCTGTTCAGTGAAATGTTTCAGCTGCAGGAGGCATCAAGAGAAAATCGTGGAAGTGCCTGAGGACGGGTCTTCATAAAGTAATGGCCATGGGGGTGGCTCCTGTGGGGCAGGTGTCACCTTCCCACTGAGGGTGGGGAAGGAGTCGGAGCAGCAGGACTGATGGGGGAGAGGTAGAGAGAACAGGAGGAAGGGAAACACGCCTGTTGAGATGCAGTGGTGCGGCCCTGAATTAAAAAGCTACTTTCTAGAAACATCTGAAATTTTTTTAAGAACCCATTAAAACCCTTTGCTTGTTCTTAATGCTTACTACCAAGATCCATTTCTGATGGTTTTTGTCACATCTGCTATAAAGTCAGAAAACAGTCTTTTTATTTGCATCAGGTCTATGCTAGTGGTACTTCACGCAGATTTGGGGTATATTTTAAACATTTCCCATCACCGATTCCTTTTACAACAGGAGAAAGAATTTGTACTGCTCACGCCAGATGCCGATTATTCAGTGTGTGTGAGGCCTGAGAGTTCTTCTGAAGCCCCGAGTTCCAATGACAGTCACTCTCTGTCACATGAGACTGCAGGTAATTAATGTCTAACTTCAGTAACTTGAGATAGAGAAGGTCTTTATTTGTGATATTAAAATCATCGATAAGATACACCTCTCCTTTAGAAAACATAAAACATAGAGCTGCTTTAACTTAGGCAAGTGTGTCTTGCTGTTGAGGCTTGGCTTTTAGTACATTTGACCCAGGTTTACATGTGTCTTATTGACAAGGAAGTATTGGCACGTCTCTTCCTATGCCAGGCTGTCTTTTCTGAAAGTATCTACATTAGTATCTACACTACACTCCTTTTTTTTTTTTTTCCTGGTGTTGTAACTACTTAATTTTGAAAAGTTTTGTGGCTTGTTGTTATAGAGTTTATGCACCTTCAGTTGGTTTTTGTTTCCTGTTAGTTCTCAAGCTCTGTAGGCAAAGAATTATATTTTTTTCTGTTCCGATGATAGTGTGGAACATCGGATAAAAAATACTGCAATATTTTACTAAGATGAACGGCAGTGACATGAAGACAGGGACTGACAGAACCATGTGTGGGACTTCTCAGATCTTTGATCTGCTTTGAGGCATGACAACGCTTTTGATGCAGTATTTATTTCAGTGGTTGTAGTGGCAGCCCCGCATCTGGTCTGAATTGCTGCTTTTTTTTTGAGATTACTCGTCACTTACGACGTCATTCTCCTCCTGGTGGGATTTACAGAAGTAGTCAAGCTCAGCATTTTAGGGGGGATATGTTAAATGCACGGCTCGTTAGAGGTGATATTGCTCACGACAAGTGAGAAATGGTCAGACCTCTCGTTTCCTTTCACAGCGATGCTGCTGGACTTTGCATCTACCGCTGGAAGTTTGCAAGAATCTTTTTTAAAAAGAAAGAAGTGCTTTATCCAGAAATCTCTGAAAAGAGTAGAAGAAATAAAAAGTAAAGAGAGAGAAAGCAAAAAGCCAGAAGCCAGACCATTTCAAAGAGAAAAGTCTGAAAAAAAAACAGCAGGCAAAAGGGGTCTCTTCTTATCCCTGGTAGGTTTATCTGGGGACAGGACCCAGCATTAGGTGTCCCTTTAGTTGCTGTTTTATACTGAACAGTAGATTTCACATTTGTTTTGTCTTTGCAGACTTGGCATATTGCTTTCTCAGGGATGCAGAGGGTTTTTTCCCCCACTGTCTGGCTGCCGCTGCAGTTTGTAAAGGCCCTTTTTGGTCCTCTTTGTATTTTCACAATCTGCCCACACGTTTGTAATCATGAAGTGTCTGCAAATAATAGTTGTTTATCAAAGAACAACTGTATTAAGCAAACTGATGTGTCTGTGCTGTCTGTTAGCGGGGAGCTGGCAGCTGGCTGTGGAGGAGCACGGCTGGCTTGGAGTGCAGGCAGCAGCCTCAGGGGTGAGACCATGACGGTCGGTTTTTAACATGGGATGTCATCTCCACTGTGTCCACTCTGCTCACTTCTTCCTTTTTCCGTAATGTCATTTAAAAATCTTTGAAAACCTCTCGTGCTTTTGAGTGAGCTGGACTAGAGATTTTAATTTGTTTGACTTTTTTTTTTCGTTAGGAAGAAAAGGTGCAGTTGTCAACCAGCTGAAGAAAGTAGGAGAAGTGAAAGCGTCTTCTCCAGAGGACAGGAAGGCTGGAGAAATTGAAATGCACCAGCGGACTTCAAGGTATTGCATGAACGTGAGTGGGAGAAGCTTGGATTAAAAAAAACACAGGAATGAGTAGTTCACCTGTGGCCTGTGAAAGCTACTGGTTAGTTTGGGGGCTTTCAGCACAAAACTTTTAGAGAACCCAGTGCGTGTGGTGCCAGGACCTGCTGAGCCGTTCCCTGCAGAGCTGGCTGTAGGAAACCCGCCTGGCTGCCCGCTCGTTCCATCCTGCGAAGGCAGCTGTGCCGGTTTGGCATGAAACCAGACAGAATTCAAAGTAAAGTTCACAGTTGCACTTGGGCACCTACCAATGGTACGTGCAGTGAGTGCAGCTTGTGAACAGGGTGTGCGTTAGATGTGGCCAAAAAGGAATTTAAAGTGATTCCTTATTAATTTCTAGCAACTGGGATACTATAAACCCTTAAGCTTGTTAACTTTTTTCAGCTTTGTCACTTTCTTCCTGACAAAACTTTTTTTCCTGCTGTTTTGACAGACTCTGTAATCAGCTTGCAGAAGTAAAAATCAAAAGGCAAGAAAAAACAAGGCATGAAACTTATGCTAAGAACAGAGAAAAGGCCAAAGAGTTTCAAAAGGTAATAGCCTGCTGTGCTGTCATCCTGGCAGGTTAGTTATTTCACTGAGCATCTAATCTGAGACGCAGTTTTGTGACACGAGTATAACTGAACGTTGTGAGTACAACGCACTCTGGATTCTAAGTGAGGTTATGGGTATGTGCTACTTCAGACTTCCCTCGTGTCACTGCTGGGACTGAGCTGAAATTTTCTCTAGAGAGCACATGTGCCTCAGGCTGAACGTTGCTGGTGACTTGAGGTCGAGCAAAAAGACTGTTGGGGACTCCAGCTGCTAGAAAGCCGACTTGGCAAGAGTGGCAGAGTCTTTCTGAGTCCAAAAGTCAACTGAATTTCCATGAGGAGGAAGTGTGGCAGCGTAGGGAGAGCTTGGCTGTTTTGTTTGCTCAGAGTAGCTTCAGCTTCCACCTGAGCACACCTGAACTAAGGCTGCAAGCATCCCATCTGGGTTTGCCGACACTTGGTCTAGAACAAGGGCTCTAGGCCCAAATCCTGCCTTTTTGCACCAACAACCTCAATGTTTCTGTGGTGGAATAAATTGCTGCTGTTTTTATATTGTTCTGGATTCCCTAATTAACAGAGAATAAGGAAAATAAGCCTGCTTCCTCGCCTTGAAATCTGTAGGTTTGGAGCAGTAACCAAATTCCTTGTCCAGACTTGCATGATCCATCGCTGATGGTGTGAGCAGAACCTCCCTGTGCCTGCTGAACCACGCTGGTTTAAGTCACTTAAGCCACATCACTGTAGTCTTGTGCTTTTATTTTATTTGCAGAAAATGCTGGAAAAACTCCGAGCCAAGAAGCCCTGGAAAGGCCCATGACTGGCAGAAGGCTGGGCGACAAGGGCCAGCGCTGCTTTGGCACAAGCTGAGAGAGCACCAGGTGACACAGGCTCCACGAGGGTCACTGGGGTGCAGCGCACTCAGGTTATGCTGAGGTCATCACCACAGAAGCAATTAACCACTGCTTCAAACATGGATACACTGACATTGTGACAAGTCTTTTCTCATGTGCATTAGGGTATTAAGGGGAGATAATACTTTTATAATATATTTCATAATATATTTTTAGTATTTTCTAACTTGTATATAAAACATTTTCAAATAAACAGGATTTTTAAGAGTTGAATCCTCAGCATGCAAGACCATTTCTTCTGTAACGCTGAATTTTTTGTGTTACTGGCACTATGTGATTTTTAGATTTGGACATGTGGGTTCCTGGGGCCAGGAAGGTAGGAAGAGAATGAAAAGCTTATGCTGTTACCACTTCCAAATGTAGTCTATCCCAGGTTCGTGAGCTCCACCTCAGAGCTAAGTAACTGCATCATCAGGACAAATTCAAAGCTCACCTTTTGCTATAAAGTTAAATTTGGTTACCAGCAGGGGGAAGCGCAGGGCCAGTTCATTAACTCTGGCCCTGATCAAAATGCAGTAACAGCAATTAACCACAATTTATACTTGTCCTCACTGGTTTTTGTTTCAGTCCATGCTGCAGTTGCACGTAGTGCTAAAGCAATTTGTTACCTCCGCCTAAGCAAAGGGCAGAAAACAAAGCGCAGTATAGACGCCAGTTTTATTTAACTGCTGTGAGAGCCTGCACAGACTAAAAACCTTTCCCGAGCTTCAGCAGAGTTCAGTGACAGGGAAGTGAGAGAAAACAGCTGACAAAGAACCTTTTCCAGTCAAATTACAACTGGATACCCTCCATGCTCTTCCACAGGACTAAGCAGGCACCTCAGCATCCCTCCTCAGGCTTTGCCACATCTCCCAGGAGGGAAAAACAAGCACCTCACAGCTCAAAGGGCAGAGGCTACCTCTGCTTCCTAACCGGTTTCCAAACAACATGCACCATTTCAGTTAGCAAAGTAAGGGAAGTTAAAGTGAATGTTTAATTCTAAATTATTGGGATAAACACTCTGGATAAGGTTCTTTCTCTGTTTGGAAGAGCTGTGCCATTCTTTGCAGCAGAGTTCCAGCAACATCACCAGGACCTAAGAGAAGAAACACAACTATTTGCATTTTTACTCAGAAGAAAAAACATTTCAACCCTGCTGTCCTCCTCACCCCTGGCACAGCAGGGAACATGTGCATAGCTCCTCCCTTATTGAAATGTGGGCAAAGCTCCCTAATATCACAATTTTCTGTTTCCTTTAACTACTGACCGTGCCCACAGCATTCTTCCCCCCTTGCACTTCTCCTCTCCCTCACCCAGTTGTTCCAGGATTATCCACACTCAAGACTTCCATGCAGCCCTAGGAATGTCTCATATTGCCAAAAAGGAAACGGCAAATAAAGTAATGAGGCTGTCTCATGCCTGAGCTGTATCAACGTGTTGTCCAGCTTCACATGCTGCAAAAGCCAGCTGGTTTCAGAATGAAACCAAGCAGCCTCTTCCCT